CCCAAACCCAAACCCAAACCCTATGTAGACAATTCAACATAATGTGACTGCTGAATTAAACCTACTAGTGGGCCAACCCCAACCCCATTTGTATCAGCCAAACCCAAACCCTTTGCGCTGCATGCAGCCTATCTTATGATTTAGAACATTTGACTACTGGAATAAATTTATAATGTGCTAACCCTAACCCCGCTAAAGATAAAAGGAAGCTCTTATCTTATCCCAGTAAACCCATTTTGTAATAATTTAACTATTTAATTTATTGAATAATCATAATGCCTATATCTTGATTTCTATCAAAACTGGATTTGTCACTTCTGGGTTGCGTAATGGTTAAGTTACTGTGATTTTATCAGACAGTATCTCAATATTTAATTGTTTATAAACTAATTAATTTAATCTGTATCTGGGAAAATAGTTAATTTCATTGATTGTTCCATGGCAATAATGTGTAAATTAATAGTAATTTTTGGATGAACATGATTCACATTTTAAAAATTTGCTAACTATTTTTTTAGATTTAGCACATTTCATATATGTACTGATAGTCAATTAGGTAATTGGCTTATCAAAAACTACTTCTGATGAGGATGAAAATGATTGATTGATTTCACCAATATCAATATAAATTTAAGGTTTGATAGCCACTTCCAAATCAAATAACTATGAGATCCTTATAGTATAGCATTCAAAAGCTTTATATGTTGTAAATTAATAAGTAATCCAAGTTCTAATATGATGAGCTTTTATAAAAGCTCCATACCCTAAATAATAATTAAAAATGCAATTTACAAGTGGTAACTGTATAAGATTGACTAACAGATGTTCTCACAAACTTTTATCTAAATCCATTACCAAATTCTTATGCCATACCACAATAACCTAAAAAAAACCAACTTTTTGGTTATTAAACTATAGCGCCACTAGTATAAGTTTAAGTATGATGTATAATCTAAGTATCCTGAAAGGCCTCCTCAACTCCTAAAATTACTTAATAACCAAGCGATTTTATGCTTGTTGCAGATGTAATATCAACAGTTACTTAAGTACTTGTTAATGAGGTAATCTATTTATTTAATTGAAAATTACAGATAATAAGAAATCCATAGTACCACCTACTCCAAAACTGATTATTGAAATTATTCCTTTTGTTGCACTTGGTAGTTGGTGATTAAAGGTTTAAACAGTAGGAAATAGGTTATTAAAACTATTTATAACTTATATTCTATCATCATCAATGGCATACCATTAATATTTAATGCCAATAACTGACTGAGCCCCCGGGCAGATAACATAAAGATCAAAACCTAAAAAAAAATCGAAAAATTTTACTTGTTTTTTAAACATTCTAAATTGTTACTCTAAAATCAGTTGGGAATTATTAATCAACATGCTCAAGACCTAGGATTATTTAAGGAATTTTGTAAAAAATCCCATTAAAGTTGACTGTTTAAGTAGATTCTTATCCATTTTTACAACCAGAAGAAATTAAAGCAAAATTTCCCGTGTCATATGTTAATAGACTTGATTATACAACAACAAAAACTAAGAGCATAAAGCAAAATCCATTTTGTTTTTAATATTTTTACTCTAACATCTTTGAATTTTTTTATTTAAATAAATAAAAAAATGCATTCTTATTTAATAATAGTAATGATTCTTTAGAATTTCTAGTTGTTTTTCTTATTAGAAAAAAGATATGTAATAGGATTTTATCATAAAAGAAAAATAGAAAAGCAAAATATTTGTCATTTAAAATTTTGTAAGTAAATTCAAAACATTTTTCATTATTTCCAACCCTGAGCCATAATGGAGAACTCATTTAAAACTTCGAAAACTTATTTATAAATCTGAATTAATTGCCATTAATCTAGAAATAATCATTTCAAAAGAAATAAATAGGAATCTGTTTAGATAGATTATTTAAAATTTCCTATGTTGCTTTGTATTCAACTTTAGATTAATTAATTTTTCTTAATTTATGCATAGCCATAAATCTCATAATATTGGATATACAATATTTTGTAAAATGATTTTTAAGTTGCAACAAATAAACCAAATTTATGTATAGTATTTAATAATATCATCTAAATATTTTCATAAATGGTATCTCCATTTAAAATTACTTTTCTAATCATTTATTTTTACTTTTTCAAGATCCTTTTATTGAATTAGAAGGAAAAATCAAATTCTATCACCTTATTTATCTTTTTAGAGTTATTGTTTATCATCCAATTTTAATAAAGACTTTTATTCAAGTAATATTTGATTTTAAACATTTCACAGAAGGATTTGGATATTACTAAACACCTTTTTTTTAAAAACAAATTTGAGACTTTTTTTTTAAGTTCGATATTACTTTTTTGAGCCATATGATAAAAAGTCAATATGATGAAAAAAGAAATATAAAAATTGCCTTGTGGCATTAAATAAAATTAAAAATTTTTCTCTACTAGAATTTTTTGGAAAATTGGACCTTAATTAATGAGATATTTTAAAAAATACTTGTCCTAGCTTAAAAAATTACAGAAATTAAATTTGAGGGATGATTGTTTCGAAATTAAAATTTCAAAAATATAAATTATTAAATAATATAAATTCTATTTCTATTTGGATACCTCTTCATTCACTATACAGATTTTATATTTTATAAAATTCTGCAAAAACACACATATTTTCTTATTTATATAACTTTACCAAACATTTTCAGCGAACTCTAATTATTTAATTTTAAGTAGTCGCTTTTTATGCTACAAAAATGAAGGCCTGACATTCTATATGTCAGTTATTATTATTATAAATGCAATCCTGTTTATTCTAAAGCAAGTATTGAGTTTTCTGTATGATATTTTTGATGGGTTAATGGAAACCTCAAAAATATATTATTGCACTTTTGACTCAAAAGAGATCATGAAAGATATAAAAAGCGGAGTGAATACTTTATAATGTCAAAACAAATAAAAAGTGGCTACTTCTTTTGAGATATATTATACCTTAAATCTCTTTACTTACTATGCTCCTAATATTGAAAAATAGTCTCTTTTGATCCATATTACAACTAGGAAAGACTAATTTTATGGTTTAATTAGATAGAAATGATTTCTTAATATAATGTATTTAATAAATTTTCATTTATTTAATCGAATGATTATTTTCTTAATTCCTATGATTCAAAATGGACCAGCATTTACATTAAGTGATGTTGCAATAAGCTTCTTTGTGTACATTTTTGTATTCAATATCTAATTCATGGAATATACAATTTGCCTAATCCATTATGGAATTTTTTATATTCATTAAACATTTATTTTCTATTGAGCAATTTTTTAAGTTTACTTTCAAAGTTTATTGTAATTATCTTGATTTTATACTTTATAATCTCTTATTATCAATTTTTTAATTAATCATTAGCTTAATTATCAGATTCTTACATAAAAAATAAAGGAATTATATTGTTATATATTATTTAATTAATACTAGTAAACTCATATGCGGATAAAAGAATTTAATTTTTCCTAGTAAAAGTTCAGTTTTAATATCTATTTTATCAGTATTTCTACAGATTGCTTATAATAATCTCTTTTTGGTTATATATTAAATTATTAATTTACGAATTTTTTTGAAATATTTGTTAGGGTAATAAAATGAATATTCATTAAACATTGTCCTCAATAACATAAATCTTCAATTTGCTTGAACTCATAATTATACTCTTTGATTACAGAAAATAGTAAGATGAATTTCAAATTTTAATGTATATAAATATTATTTAATTTGGCATATATTAAAAATGCTTTTGTAAATTTCTTAAGTTTTGGTAATTTTTATTTAGTTTTAAAAAACTTGTTGAGGGCTACATACAAGTTTTAAACTACCATCACAAATGTTTTATAAAAATTTTCCACCTATAGTTAAGTAGAATTTTCAGTCTGAATTTGGAAATTAGACACTTTGGAAAATGTATTTTGCTTAAATACTTGATGTTTAGTTTTCATGATGTAACCATGAGATACATAAGCTATAATTTGGAAGATTAACTTATCCCTATATCAAAAAGATTTTAAATAACATAACCAGAACATCTAAAAATTGAAAGAAAAATTGGATTGATCAAATAATAAATTATAGCCATCAATAATGTCAAATTTTCAATTTAAAATTATTTTTCGGTGGGTAAATTAATGAAAAGTAATTTGCTAATAAAATAAAAATAAAAATTTTAGGAGTTCTTCACCAAAATTTTTTTTTTCAGGAAAGAGTATATAATGTGAAAAAAAAGATAACAGAAAGGTACTAGCTCTATTATTTCATAGGTGATGTCATAGGATCCTAATGTAAAAAGATACGCACCTAAAAAACAGCCAAGACATTACTTTTATTGGAATGGCTGGTTATTAACGAGAGTAGAGACATTGGGTGAAAAATGAGCATAAGTAGCCCTCTATCCATGTATATCGATTGGCTAACTGATATCAACTACTCTATTAAATACATTATCCATTCAAGTAGTAAGAGTAAAGAGAGGTGAGATGAACTTGGGATACTAATTAAAATTATATTAACAATTCATTGATATCATTTCATATGTTATATCAATATAAAAAAAAAACCTAATATAACATAATGTTTTTTGAACCTTAATTAATGATATAATTTCTTAAATGATGCTCAATTTTTCAGATTCACAATTTTTACTTGAAAATAAAAATTAAGCTCAGATATTATTCCATTTATTTTCAATAATATTAATAAAAAATAACTATTTCAACTTATTCATAAAACTTTATTTATTATCTCTATTCAGCATTGGTAAAACGGATATTATTTAACGATATATAGATTCTAAAATTAATTGTAATGAAAACACTTTATTCTAAATTCATAATAGAAAAAAAATATAATATATATTTGTTTTAAAAGATTTTAATTTACTTTCAGTGTAATGTAAAAAATAAAGCTCAAAGTGACCTGTATTAATATTAATCAATAGCTTAGCATATAAAGAAATAGAATTAAAGTACATTGTCGAAAAAAGATTTTGAAGATTGGCCTCTAAATAATTTCAGTTTTTTAAACAAATTATAGTATTGTCATTCTTATTTTTAAAATAAATACAGTAATATGATAAATTTAATTCAGGATTTAAAGTAAAATAATTCATGGTATTATTATTCTGGTATTATGTTTTAATGAATATCTTAATTATACTCTCAAATTTGTATACCAGTTAGGAGGGTAGTTACATTCACTTCAGATTGCCTCTGTATACCTATAGGCTATGATTATAGCATCATCAAATCCTATGGCTTAACTCTTTGCTCTACGAATCACCTTTTTCGCTTGTATTGTATCCATTAGAGCATTCTTGAAGGAATCTAGCTAAGACATGAGGTAGATACATTGTTCTTCAATCTAGGTGAGCTTTCCCTTCTCTTTTATATTTAGCTCTCCTTTGATGTATTTCAATTATTNTTATATTAACAATTCATTGATATCATTTCATATGTTATATCAATATAAAAAAAAAACCTAATATAACATAATGTTTTTTGAACCTTAATTAATGATATAATTTCTTAAATGATGCTCAATTTTTCAGATTCACAATTTTTACTTGAAAATAAAAATTAAGCTCAGATATTATTCCATTTATTTTCAATAATATTAATAAAAAATAACTATTTCAACTTATTCATAAAACTTTATTTATTATCTCTATTCAGCATTGGTAAAACGGATATTATTTAACGATATATAGATTCTAAAATTAATTGTAATGAAAACACTTTATTCTAAATTCATAATAGAAAAAAAATATAATATATATTTGTTTTAAAAGATTTTAATTTACTTTCAGTGTAATGTAAAAAATAAAGCTCAAAGTGACCTGTATTAATATTAATCAATAGCTTAGCATATAAAGAAATAGAATTAAAGTACATTGTCGAAAAAAGATTTTGAAGATTGGCCTCTAAATAATTTCAGTTTTTTAAACAAATTATAGTATTGTCATTCTTATTTTTAAAATAAATACAGTAATATGATAAATTTAATTCAGGATTTAAAGTAAAATAATTCATGGTATTATTATTCTGGTATTATGTTTTAATGAATATCTTAATTATACTCTCAAATTTGTATACCAGTTAGGAGGGTAGTTACATTCACTTCAGATTGCCTCTGTATACCTATAGGCTATGATTATAGCATCATCAAATCCTATGGCTTAACTCTTTGCTCTACGAATCACCTTTTTCGCTTGTATTGTATCCATTAGAGCATTCTTGAAGGAATCTAGCTAAGACATGAGGTAGATACATTGTTCTTCAATCTAGGTGAGCTTTCCCTTCTCTTTTATATTTAGCTCTCCTTTGATGTATTTCAATTATTGGCATGAATGCTATGAAGTTTATTTATACTCACATTAGGATTAGATGAATTCTGAATCTATGAAAAATTTGGTACCTGAATTTGTGAGTATTCTGGTTATTCATGACAATTGGAGGGCCAAAAAATAAAATTTTAATAAGTATATCTCTTCCTATTTTTTTTCCTCAGTATATCTGCTCAAATAATTTTTCTAGATTGCTATTTAACAAGTTAAAATACTTGATATTGCTTACTCATTATTCATAATTTATTTATACTGTATTCAAGTAACTTCAAGATGTTTAAGAAGATGATATTTAATTATTTAAGCGATGTATTATAATGAAGAATATTAGCTATTTTGATTGGGATTATAATAAAATAGAAAATATGTGTCTTATGATTTTGTAATATATTATTCACTAGATGTAAGTTTTCATTTCAACATTTTTTTTATTTTATAATCTAAATTAATCTTAAGATTAATTTTGAGCTTTAATTTATATATTATTATTTTTAAATAATAATTTTTTAATCTTAAATTGAAAAATATAAATATATAGATATTTATAAATGTCTTATTCATTTTTTATTAGATTAATATTCTTCAACATTATTAAAAATTAGTTTTTCTATTCCTATTCTACTTGATTTAGTACTAAGAATTCTTGAACTATTATGGGAATATTATTTTTAACAAGAAATATTTGTCAATATTTGCCTTGAATTTCTTAATTGAATTTTTGACAAAAATATTAAATGGCTCTTCAATTTGGCAATGTTATTCTTCATTTTTTGCTATTTTAGTTCTTGTTTTTTCAAGAACTTTTCTAAGATTAGAGTAAAATAAAAATTTGGTACGTTCAAATTAAAAAAGAGATGCAATTTATTCAAAAAAATGGATGAAAGCTTTTTAAAATAACTTCTCGTAATTCCAAAAATAAAAGGATAACAAAGTTTTAGTAAGCATCCTAAAATCAATATTTGAATCAGAATAGAAGGGAATATATAATTTTTTTATTCGCAAATACTTTTGGTGAATGCTAAAAATATAGAGATTGAGCAAATCTGGGATGTTTATATGTCTAAATCATTATATTTTTATAAAATGAATGGCTAATGGAGAATTGCCAATAGTTAATATATTAACAAGGTCAATCCTAATAAGGATGCTTTTAAGATAATTTCAGTTTCAAAATTTGTCATTATAAAGATTATAATAGATTTATTAAATAGTTTGATTAGTTCCCAATAATATCTTTCTTATTTGTATTCATTCAATAGATAACAAATATGTTTTCTTAACCTAATTTTATCTAACTTATTTTTGTTTAAAAGCAATAGAATAACAATTAAAATAGGAATGAATACACCAATAATAAATATTCCTGGAATAATAAAATAATACATCCAATTTAAATGAACTCGAGATCCATATTTTAAGGAGACATCTCCCTATATGTAATTGTGATTTGATATTTCTCGTTTTGATAGAATTGATGAGAACCTTTTAATTTTAAATATTATATACATTTTAATTAATCCTGCATAATTAAATAGATATAAATAGAGTGCAGTATTTGAAAAGAAACTATTATCTTGCTTTTGTTTGGTTATTAGAGTGTGTAAATATGATCCTGTAATAGTTAGATTAAATAGTATAATCATCAAGATTAACATTGTGAATATTTTTAAGTAAATTAAATGTATATTTTCAATAGAAAATATATAGCAGTCTAAATCTTTGGCTATAAAATATGAAGTATCACTAGTTTATTCAATAAAAAGAAAAGAAAATGAAAATGTTATGTTAAATGTAAAAATGACTGAATAAACCCACAAATAATTTATCAACATTTTTAATTAAATACTTTCTTGATCTAAATTTTATTAATTTTATTTACCTTAATTTAATTTAAATAATATTTTGCTAAATCTTTAAGTTATTATGAGTATTGAATACATCTAATTAGATTTAGAAACACCTCTTAATGATATAGATATAGATATAAATGTCCTTATAATTAATATATATAAAATACCAAAAACTTATTAATATAAAAGTAAATATGTTGCTCCAATCAAATTAACATTATCTACAATTTAAATCCCATTAATTTTTATAAAAATTACCTTATCCTCTTATATCATACATATCACATTCTTCACATAAAGCACCAATATGTCCTTATATGCATGTATTATCTCCAGCCTACCATCCTCCAATACAAAATAATAAATTTTTAAAACAAGATTCTACATAATCAGAAAAATTATTTGGTCTCCAAAATCCAGGAAGTAATTTAATCATATTTGAAGTAATATCAGAATACTTGTTTTTATCGAATATAGAACATTTTGTAGCATTATATGTAACAGAATAATATCCTTAATTGTGTTAACAGATTTGACATCCATTATCTACATAAAACTCACCAAGTTAACATTTTAGACTCTTTGTATATATTCTATATTTTAAACTATTCTTTGATTCATTTAGTTAACAACTTATATCAATCTATAAATAATTCCACTCTTATATATATGGATCTAAACTAAACGATAGTGATCCAAAATCGAAAGAATTTTTTGAAATATCAAATAGTAAAATTTTTGTAAACTCTCTATCTGTTATTTCTTAATGGTCTTTACTTATTATTTTATCTTTAACTGTGCAAGAAGAATTGATAAAATTCATTACTTCATTTCTACTGTTTTTAAAACATAAAAAAATATCCTTTATAAACGGTTTATATTTTGATTCATGTATGTCAAAAATTTAAAAAGATTTAATAATTTATTTACTTGGAATTAATAATTCTTTCATAAAGATTTAATTACCTTATTCAATCATTCTGTAAGTTTTTATATACAATATATTTATTTACTATTTATTTAGAATAATAGATTTTGAAGGATTCTCTATATAATTGATGTAAAAAGCTAAATGAGTGGGAATCTCTTTGATATTATTCCCATATTCCTAAGCAGTATTGAAAAACAATAATGATGATATAAAATTATTATTATTTAAATTATTGTATCTCTCTAAATATATACCACCTCCTATTCTAGCTTTATTTCCTATGATGATTGATCTATTAATAATAAAGTTAGAAAATTCAACATCCATATATAAACCTCCTCCAAAGTCTTAGGCATTATTGTTTATAAAATTGCATAATTTAATTTTTAGACTCACTTTTTAAGCATATATACCAATACCTTGAGTTCCATTATTAAATAGGAAATTAGAATTTTCTATTTAGATTTTTTATTAAAGTTATGTAATAGATAAAAAATGTAGGCATCCAAAGGTTTTTATTTAATTATAATTACAATTGAAATTTTTAAGCTAAATAAATTTAAAATCCGATAATTCAAAAAAGATTAATCCATTTTAACATTATTAGCAATCATTATATTCAATTGTAACATCTCTAAAATAGAAACCATTCAATTTCGAAATACTTTATATATAAATGAATGAGCTTTATTAATCATCATTTTATTAAAAAAAACTTAAAATAGATTAAAAATTATCTCGTTAATATTTTTCAAATTATTGTTAAACGATGCTACACATTTGTATGTAATAATTAATTAATGAGAATTTTGATTCAAATATAAAATTATTTTTATAAAGCTAAATACTTGTAATACTTAGATTTTCAATAACCGACATTGATTATGCTTATTAAAGTTAGATTACTTAAATTAATTTAAATGAATATAAGGGTTATATTTTATTTATTTTAATATTTTATAGTACCATCTTTGGTATATTGACAAATTAGAAGATAGAATTAATGAGGAGTCCTTCTATTATAAATTCTTAAATCTATATAATGCAATTTTGAAATTAAATTAAAGAATTTTAACTATTTTTAATATCTTTTATTTCTAAAATGAATAAATCTCGAATTTTAGAAAAATAATTCATCCACACTTAATCATTTTATGTAATTTTCATATTTATTATAATTACTATATTTTAATAAGCTATGGATGATGAAAATTAAACGTTAAATATTTAATTGACCAATAAAACACAATTTAATATTTTAGTTTCTTATACTAAAATGATATTTGATGATTTTGAAGGAATTATATTGAAAATAGGAGAAGCCATTCTATTAAAAATATTTGATAAAAAAGCATTTACTAACCTTAGATGAAATTTACTGTTTGAAGAATAAATGTTAAAGCATCCTGAACCTTTTTCAGTTGATAATAGATTATTTTCTACTTGATTTATGGTAATATTTTATAAGTTTATTAAACCTTCTTCTGTCGTTGTAATCTCAAAAATTTAGCTTTACATAGCAAGAATTTTAGAAAATGTGCAATTAAGACAAGATAATTATTAAACTAAAAATTATGCTACCCCTCCGATATTCTTTACAATTTAAAAAATAATTTCATTTAGATTGTCTTAATCTAGATTTTGTTTGATTTAAAGTTCATAATATTTAACCCACAATTATTATGATAAAAAATTGTGATTATTAATTGAAAATTTGGATATTATTACATTAGCTGATATTATTATAATAAAGGAATTTGAAGAATTAGTAAGTGCATTATTATTACAGAGAAAATTGTCTATTTTTAATTGACTTAATGAAGACTAAATCTATAATAAACTAATTGTCGTTTTTAATACACTGCTAGAATAAGAATGTAAAAAGTTTTCATTGTATTTAATATTTTCAAGTAGAATGTCAACTCTTTTTTCTGATTCTATTAATAATAAGGAGATTTGATTAATTAAAATTGATTATATGAGAATGTTTTCACAGAATGTAAGATTAACCATCTCAATCCAACTCATAGTATTTGATAAATTTTAGAAACTTGGATTTATTGTTATTATAGATTCATCAACACTTACAATTTTCAAAATTTATAAATTCTATATTGAAATAGTATTGAATCCATAAATTTAAAGTAATTTATTTTATTTTTTTGTGTGTAAACAAGTTTATGAGAAAGGAATTTTTAAATTCTGAATTGAATTCTAATATATGATATTTTAAATTAATATTAATTTATTCTCAGGCAATTAAAATATTATTAGATCATCGTTATCGCTAATTAAACAGTTTGATATGTGAATTTCTTAACTATTTATACGAAACAATTGACTTTTTTCATTTTGATTAGTATATTTGCTATTGTTTATAATAGAAAAATTGGAAAATTCAATTAGAAGAAAATTATTTGACAAAGTTGTAAATATCTCAATTAAATTAGAAACCTAAAATTGATTATGATTAGCTTCAAAATTAGTCACATTTAATAGTATTTCATTCTTTAATAAAATGTAATTAATGGATAAGAATTATGAAAAAGCAAATAAATTTTAATGAATCTTAATAAAACTTATTGTAATATTAAAATTAACAGATATAATAATAGAGGTGTTCATAAGGTTTAAATAAAATTAAAAATCATTTAAAATTACTTAAATTAAATATGTGCTATTTACTAAATAAGAGCTGTAGAATTTGTTATTTCGTATAATGGTATTCAATCCATGTAAAACTTTTTATTTTTGATAAGTGCTATAAAAATTAAAGATTGATGATCTTGTTAAAATAGATTAATATAGAATGAGATATTTATAAAATATTTAGGATTCAATTTAGGATAATTTAAATAATGTAGATTCTATGAATGTACAATTTTTAATATATAAATTTGTTATAAAAATCTATCCCCACATTTAGATTGATTAAGTATTAAAAATTGAGGAATTAATAAAGGTAGTATTTATTATTGTAAAATTATTTAAAGTTATATTTCCAAATATTTCTGTTTTAAATAATGAATCAATATTTTTTAGTGTACTCTAAGTTATTGTAAAATTTGTGAGAATTAAATCGATTTTAGTATTGCTATTATGAAAAATAAAATGTTAGTCTGAGTTGATTATAAATCCTAAATTATTAATCTCAATACAATCAAAATTATTAAAAGGTTTGGAAGTAAATGATTTGATTTCTAAATATTATATTGATGAAAATTTTAGGTTGACTCTTTTTAAAGTAAACACTTTTTATTTTAATTCGGTTTAAATATCAAATGGAAGTATTAGACTACATTATTATTATGAGATTTTAAAGATGAAATTAATTGTCAAAAATTGAATTCCAATTTGATTGCAATATTTATTATTGATAGTTGACTCATAAAATCTATTGAATTTTGTAAAATCACATGATTCTTACGAAATATCAAAGAAAAATTCATCTTTGCAATTCTTACTAAAACATTACCTAACATTTTATGTATAAGGATCATAAGAAAAAGAAGGATCATCATATGATTTAATACATTATTTGGTATAGATTTAATTTTCATCATTAACAATAAAATGTGGATAATAATTCTATTAATTATATTATATTTTTACTTGAATATCTTTCTTTGCACGTGGAATGCACACTTCACAAAATGGATGACAATAAGTACATTTTTTGCTTGATTCTGTTAGAATATATTTTTTATAATAATTTAATGGGCATTAAATACAATAAGAATTACTCTAGTCACATAAAATGCAATCAGGATCACAATCTGCAGCTTTTTATTGATTTAAAAATTTTTTATAAACATATTATTCCATTTATGGAACAAATTAAAGAATAAAACTTTAAATCTTGTGTTTTTAATTATAGATTAAGCTCTTCTATATATCAAATTCTTCGTTCTCATAACATTTATCATTTTCAATAATGTAATTAACTTTACAAAGTATACATTTGATTTATTGTTCTATATTTATAGAACATAATTAACAGTTTTCAATGTAATTTTAACAATTAGATATTTCTGGTGCAATAGAAAAGTTATCATTTATTGATGAAACACATTTTTCCTTATTTTATAAATCTATATATGATCTTTGACAATTTTAAATCTCTGGGATTTATCTTAAACATAATTATAGAGTAAAATCATAAATGAAGTTTTCTTCACAAAGTGCACAACCAACTTTTATATTTGTAATTAATTTTAAATTGTAATACGCTACCTTAATTAAAGAACAAAAATTTTAATTATTAGTAGAGTATTCAAAACAGTATATACAATTTTGTATTTTACAAATTTTACACTAGTTTTCAAATGAATAATAATATGGTGGTAAGCAAATGAGTTATTAATTTGCTTTAATTTCAGCTGATAGTATACATTTACCATCTATTAATTTGTAATCACCATAACATTTAATACATATTAACGAAGTCAGAGTTACTTAACAAATTTAACAATATTAAATTAAGCATTCATAACAAATGAATTAATCATTTTCAACAAAATACATTTACTAACAAAATTTTCTAAAATAGTTTTGAGCTAAATAAAATTCCTTGAATATACCTGAATAATTTGAAATGTTAGTTTCATAAATAAATAATTAAGTTAAATGAATAGGATTTAGTAATATTCCATCAAAGTAATATTGGATATCACCAAATAATAATAATGCATCATAATAAGTAATATTTTGTTTTATCACTAATACTTTTTTACAAATTGGATCTTCAAACCATGACTTAGGATTGTTAATACATTCCATGCAACTAATAAAATCTTTCCTAATGATAGAAGGACTAATTAATAATTATTTTATACCATTTTATACAATCTCCATCAATCTCAAAATATCCATATTTGCAATTATAATTAATATCTAGCTTTTCATTTTCAATAACTCGAAGATTTGAATCTTTGTATGTCTAACATTGATTTTGATTATCAATTGTATTATATGGACAAACACAGACTTAATATTCTGGAATATAGATTCTACTAGATTCAAATGAACAAGATAAACAATCTTAATTGGTTGGACCATTACATTCAAAACAACTGTAATGACAATTTTATGTTCTGAATTCTTCATAACAATTGAAAAACTCTATATTTTTCATTTAGATGTTTAAATAATTAATTTAAGTTTATAAGCAATTACCAAATTATATTTTAAATAAGCTATTATGAAATTGATGAACTTCAAATTAGACATCATAATAAAATATTTCTTAACCTTCATAAAATTTAATTACAACATTCAACTTATTATTTAATAATTCAACTTTTAAATGATGCCAGAGAATAATCTTATTTTTCATTAAAAACTTCTTTTTTATTAAGAAAGGATTATCTGAAAAATCAATAGCAACATCCGGAAAAGAATAACTATATGTAGTGATCTCTATCTCATTTAATAAAGGGGTTATATGATAAAATAATTAAAAGGGGGATAAATTTTGATTCTAAAATATTGGATTCTATAAATGTGCTAAAATTTTTATTAACTGATAAATAACAAGTATTTCAGATGGATTTATAATCTCTTTTATTTTAATCCATCCTACTAATATAAATGAATCACAATTTTTATTATCTGAAATATATAAATCCTAATCTTATACTTTGAAATCCTTATCTCCAATCAACAATTTCTCATTTGACTAACAAACACATTACTCAAATTATTTATATTCTTGATTTGCAATATTCAAGTAATCAAAATCAAATGGTAAACTTTAGATTGAAAAATCTTATAAAATAATAGTACCTGGAAAATATGAGAATATTTCACCTCTTTTTATATCTTATATCTTTGAATTACGTACTATAAAACTACCCCCAAATGATAATATTAAGTTTTCATCATTAAATGGATATTTCATCTTCTTTATTGTTGAAAATTACAGTTCCTATCTTTTTATTACAATTAATTTAAACATACTCTATTACGGCCATGCTATTAATTGTAAGTAATACCAAGTATTTTCATAATCAAATGTATCAATATCTATTACAAATTTATTTTATTCATTCAAATTATTGATAAATAAGATGTTTTTTATTATTTTCTTTGAAACAAAATCTAAGCAATCATAATATATAAGATTTAAACTTTATGAATATTAATCAATTGCATTATGTAAATGAAAACAATGACTATCGAATAAACCATACATTCCTACCTAATTTATTGTACTGAGTGGATTATATTTTGACCATAATCCATAAGTCAAACAATTATTATTTGTATATTCATACTCTGTTAATTAAATAAATTTCCTTTGATATTGATAAGCTTCATTCATTTTAATTGTTTCAAAACTACTCCCTATATTTATATTTAACACTAAATAAATCATAAGCATCATAACAAAATATTTTTATAATTAATATATTTATTTATGTTTTTCTTACATTTATTATACTTATTAAATTGAATTATTTTAACAATCTGATTTTTAAATCTTGATATTAAATCATTTTCATTATTAATTCTATGATTAAAATTTATAGAAAGAATACTTATTTAATTTTCTACAAATATTAAGTAATATTATCAACTAATTTTATAAATGAGATTTACCATGTTTTGTTAGTTGTATTCTGACTGAGTACAACAATAAGTAAATTTATAATATTAATATTAATAAAAACTCAGAACACTTTCTTATTTAAACTCTCTTTAAGATATGGTGTGATTGAATGTATGTATCTAAAATTTTTGTATCAATTGAATTCATTTGCTTATGGATTTAAAAATATATAAACAAATGCCCTTTTTTATTTAAGAAATTCTTCTGTAAATGCCATATCAGCATTTTTATTAAAGATACTTTTTATAAATTTGTCCATTAAAGGTTCCTAAAATGATTAAGTTAGCACCTAAAAATAAAATATGTTATTAAATATATATATTTTGGATCCTTTTTGAGTTATCATCATTTAAAAGGTAATTTTATTATTATTGCATTCAATGTACATAATTTAATAGCCAATACTTATCAAAAAGAAAATTTAAAGATTATCCGAAAAAGAAATAAACTTCTTGAAATTTAAGAATATAAATTTCATTCTAAGCATATAAAATATAATCATATGCAATGTTTTTTAAGTTAACAATAAGTCAATAAATTTTATTCATTTTATATTGTCATTTTATGAGAAAATTTCAGGAATTAGATTTTTTTATCACTATTATTCTGTTCACTGATTTGAAAAGAATCAGTCTTAATACAGACCAGATATCAGAATCATTAATTATATTTTACAAAATTGGCTGATAATAATTAATATCCATAATAAAATTTTTCTACATATTAATTAAACAATAGCTGATTGAAAGAATACATTTTTATAATTTGCATTATAAACAACACTCTATATAAATGCTACAAATTGTAAAAAAACTGCTACGTTTATTAAAGTTCTTTCGATAATTTAATATTATTTCTTAATTACGAGAATCAACAAATATTATCCAAACATTAATTTTATGGTGTCATAAACATTTATATATGAAGCATTTTAGTTAGTATATAACAACAATACTAGATAAATATGAAATCGAGTATCTAAATTCAAATACATAAGATTTTAGATTACTAAAATTTCATAGCATAGATATTATTTTTGCATATTTTCTAAATGGAATAAAATTAAACATTTATGTACAATTATTCAATCAACTTTTATTAAATAATAGAATATTTCTAAGGCAAAAAACTATAATATTACTCAAATTTTCTTAAAATATATTAGGGTAAAATCAAAATTTCTAATTGAAGAGTCAATTTTTGCAAGGAATGCTTTTTCATTTTTTCATGTATATTTTGCACAGTTAACCCATGTTGACATCATCTATACTTCTATTTATAGCAATACTTCTTTTTATTATAATTGTAATATATATTTTAGATATTAAAATTTGAATATAAAATAATTGAATACGAAAAATGGATACCACAGTCCCTCATTATCAATTCTAAATAAAAAGTTTTGGAATATATAGGCATAAAGTGAATATATTGACCTAAACATCTAAAACTGCAAATTTTTGAAATGTAATTCCTTTCCAATAATAAAGTTTAGTACTTAAGAGATTGAAGTAAGTTTTGGAATTTGTTTCTATTAAATTATAAAATTATCTTAGAATTAAACAGTAAGAAAAAACTTTATTTAATTGTTGAACTATAATGTTAGTGATTTAACATTTGATAAATTAATTTATCTAAGTAAATTTATTTTTTGGAAAGGATTCTTTAGATCCTATTCCTCAAAGCGTTGATTTTTAAATTGTTGGCGAATTGTTAGAANAATAGCTGATTGAAAGAATACATTTTTATAATTTGCATTATAAACAACACTCTATATAAATGCTACAAATTGTAAAAAAACTGCTACGTTTATTAAAGTTCTTTCGATAATTTAATATTATTTCTTAATTACGAGAATCAACAAATATTATCCAAACATTAATTTTATGGTGTCATAAACATTTATATATGAAGCATTTTAGTTAGTATATAACAACAATACTAGATAAATATGAAATCGAGTATCTAAATTCAAATACATAAGATTTTAGATTACTAAAATTTCATAGCATAGATATTATTTTTGCATATTTTCTAAATGGAATAAAATTAAACATTTATGTACAATTATTCAATCAACTTTTATTAAATAATAGAATATTTCTAAGGCAAAAAACTATAATATTACTCAAATTTTCTTAAAATATATTAGGGTAAAATCAAAATTTCTAATTGAAGAGTCAATTTTTGCAAGGAATGCTTTTTCATTTTTTCATGTATATTTTGCACAGTTAACCCATGTTGACATCATCTATACTTCTATTTATAGCAATACTTCTTTTTATTATAATTGTAATATATATTTTAGATATTAAAATTTGAATATAAAATAATTGAATACGAAAAATGGATACCACAGTCCCTCATTATCAATTCTAAATAAAAAGTTTTGGAATATATAGGCATAAAGTGAATATATTGACCTAAACATCTAAAACTGCAAATTTTTGAAATGTAATTCCTTTCCAATAATAAAGTTTAGTACTTAAGAGATTGAAGTAAGTTTTGGAATTTGTTTCTATTAAATTATAAAATTATCTTAGAATTAAACAGTAAGAAAAAACTTTATTTAATTGTTGAACTATAATGTTAGTGATTTAACATTTGATAAATTAATTTATCTAAGTAAATTTATTTTTTGGAAAGGATTCTTTAGATCCTATTCCTCAAAGCGTTGATTTTTAAATTGTTGGCGAATTGTTAGAAGAAAGCTTTATATATGAAAAACATGTAGAATTTAGGAATCCTTTATTTTATTAATGTTTAAATGGTAAATAGGTTGATGAATTAAATGAATAAAATTGTAAATATAAAATAGTGTTGTATGTAACTGATTAAAACATAGCTCACTTATTTTTTTGAACAAATAATGATATTGAACCAAAGTTAATTGAATCTGTTTCGAAGGATAAAATTTATACTATCTAAAAACCAGAATAACAATAAACAAAATTAGTAATTCATTAAATTCAAACTAAAATTAAGAATGTCCGATTTGTACTGAACTTTATAATGTAAATCAGACTAATTTAACTCCTTGTTGTTAAAAGAAACTGCACAAACAATGTATTTAAGAAGATTTATGTTCAAAAGCAAAAGAAAATAAGAATTTTAAAAATATTAAATGTTGTTGTAATTGTGAATAATCATTGGAAAATAATGAGGAATTTATAAGGAAAATATTACAAAATAAATTTTTGGTGAAATCGTAAAAAACAAGTATAAGCAAACATTCCTCTAAAATGCTTTTCATGCACTCTAGTTCTTGTTTGTCCAATTTGGAATTTAATGTAAACAAAATATGGTAATTGCAATCATGTACGTAGTTTTGGTTGCTAAAAAGAATTTTGTTTAGCCTGTTCTATTGATAGAGTTCCAATAATAAGTCAAGGCAATCATTACCATAGATTGATTTGTCCTAATTATAAACCATGGATTGTTAAAGATCAAAAAAATTATAATACACAAGTGAGTATTTATATATAAGACCTTATGATTTATTCATTTATACAATAAATTCAAAACAAATAATCATTTATTATTTCTTGTATTTTTAAATTCATTTTTAAATTTCTTTCCTGAGAGTTTTCGAATTCATCTTAACTTATTTTATTGTATTATAAAATGAATTAAATTTAATAATTTAAAAGATTAATCAATTTTTAGATGTAGTAGACAAATCTCATGGCTAAAAATTCATAATTTACTAAGAGTTATGAATAAAAAAAAATTTAGAAATTGTTTACTTGTAATTAATGTATTGTAGTTATCGTTTTGAGAGTTTGATTTTTTGGGAATCCTAAACAAATGTATATGCAATAGAAGTGGATGAGGTAAATCAATTTATCCTAAAGTGAAAATAGAAAACATCTTTATTTATATACATTTACTACATAAAAAGAATACTACATAACAGAAGATTAGGAAAACATCATTAGTCATTTCCAAATGTAATACCAATGGTTAATTAACATCCTAGATGAGTTCAGTGAAAGAGTCTACTCAAGAGAATGATATATGTGAATAGTGATGTAAAAAAAAGTGATAGAATCTAATAGAAAGCACAATGCTAAATTAAAATAGACAAATAAAATCAACTAGCTAACATTAATTAGGAGTGATCGAATAACTCGAGGCTAGTGAGATAATCAAGAGAGGGCATTCTAGAAGGTAAGCAAATTTTGAAAGATCCTACCTCTCTTAACAACTTATAAATTAAGTCTATGATATTTTTGGATAAATTAGATAGTAAAAAAAGAAAAATCATGAAGTTAGAATTTAAGAAATAAAAATTTGGATCTTAATATAAAAGAAATTTATCGGGTCTTTATCATAACATGGTTTGGGTTAGTAGATTTACGATAAAGAATAAATTCAAAATAAATTCAAAAGAGACCTCGACTAATGGTAGGTAGTGTGATTATGTTAAATTAAATAAGTAATAGAAATATATAAATCTAATTTGGAGTTTATAATCAAAGAAAAAGATCTACTAAAATTAGATTTCTAATATTAATACAAATAAACTTGATTAAGATGTAACGGAACTAGTGATCATTAATCAAAAAATAGATTAGAATTATGAAAGAGTAGTATTATTTCATTTATTTATTGGTTACTAAATATATTTTATTTATTGTAACACTAATTTTCGTGAAGGTTAATAATCAAATTAAAATATAGTATCTACTTTTAGTCAGAGATGATAAAATTTTTTATTTCTATAAGCAATATGATGATATCAATTCAAAAATAATTAGTTATGTCGAAATCAAATTTAAAATTATTATAATTATTAATTTAATAAACCTTGTGAAAGTGTCATTCTTAATTATTGGATTCTTTTGTTTTGGAATTAAGTTGAATTTCAATAGGTTAGTGTTGAGAACTTAAATAATTTAATAATTCTTATTGATTATAATTTTAAGATTTAGTTTATCTATTGTTTCAATTGTTTAATCTTGAAAATTCTCGGAGAATAGATAGAATTTGTACATATATGACATAACTATTTAAAATTCTTAAATTTCAATTTTATCATAACTGAATAATATGTTCAATAACTTCTTTTATTTAATATGAAAAATTACAAAAATAATAGAATGATACTGTCTAATAATGAAATCAAAAATAATTTATGTATAATTTTGGTAATAAGACATTTTAAAAAATAGAATAAAGATTAATTACTATCTCAAAATTTAGTGTGTTAAAATTATTAAGTGAATAAGCTTATTTAAACAATAAATAAATTAAATTAATAAATATAAATAACATGGAATAAAAAAATAATATTATGGACGCATTATTTATGTGGGCTTATGAATTTAATAATGAAGATAAGTATGATAAATCTAAAGAAGAAATTCAATCAGAAAATAAATAATTAGATAGTTTTAATAATTTTTTTCATATATTTGATTTTGGATTGTCTTATGATCTTTCATATATAGTAATTTTCGAGGATAAAATCAGAAAATAGAACAATACATCAAGGCGAATAAAAGGAAGATAAAGAAGTGATTTAAGAATAAAACTATTAGAAGTGAAATCATGCAGAGTTGTATTTTAAAGTAGTTTACTATGCAGGGGATTTTATCATATAAACTTTCATTTTTCTCGAGATTCAAATTTTCTAATATGTTAAGGATATTGGGATAGTTATTTAGTTATTGATATTCAATAAAAGAAAGAATTCATCTTTAAAAATTTAGAAGAGTCATGTTTTATATTTTAGATGGATACAATCAGTAATTTATATATATAGAGAAATAAGAAAATATTTCATGTAAACTTAGAGGAGCTAAATGAATAGTAGGAAAAAGATATTTATATTAGATTCAATTTCGAAATCATTTTATATTTCAAATCATTTTTATTGAAATTTGCTTTGATAAGCACAGAATTATTTCAATATATAATATATCTTTAAAATTATAAAGTTATTAAATTAAGAAAAAAATTTACTGAGATTAGAACATAATTAATCATTTTTTAAAACTGTCTTATGATTGAATAAGAAAATATCCATGAAACAGAATATTCTACTAGATTGCTACATAGTGGGAAATTATTAAGAAGAATTAAGAATCTATTTGCACATTCAGGCAATATATATTAAGATTAAAATGGGATTTTTAAATATTCATTTTTAAATATAGAAAACCTGAATAATCATTCTTAAATTAAAGTATTTGACTTCTTAAGAGGAATTTCTAAAGAAATATTTTATAGTAATGATACATAATATAAAAATGACTATTTAATTTCCAAGTTTTCAAATTAGTTTATCTTTACTATGATTTTGAGTGATCTGTAAACTTAAATTGCATGCTATTCTTTAAAATGAATCGAATATTTAAAATTATTAGATAACTGAGTATTAGATTTTATCTGATTTATTTTTAAATAAATTTTAGATACTATTTATTATTTTAATTGTCTCATACTCCAAGCTACTTAATTAATTAATTATAATCAAAGTAAATAGTAAGAATTATTATAATGAACTTTTGGTATTATTTTGTTATTATATTACATTTATTTAGATGTACATAAAGTTAAAGAATAATTTTAATTTTCAAAATAAATTTAAACAAAAAATGTCTAAAATTTTAAAATCATATAATTAAGTTATAAATTTAGAAATATTAATCTATTAATAAAGAGTATCTTGCCTTATTAATGATTAAAGCTAATTTTGAGAATATATATATGAATGAATATCTGATACTACGAATTATTGTATTTTAAAAGTTTTTGTATCTATTTTTCTTGCTTAATAAAATTTTATGATATTTAGTCAATACTAAAATAATACAAAAGTTATAGGTGTATAAACTTGTAATTTTAGATTTGTGTATCATCATGATGCTAGAATTAAATTTTATATTATTTCTTTAAAACAACTGCAATTAAATAAGTTAATTTCCTTTCAACTCTATTTAAATTTTTTTTTTAAATTTAGCTCTCAATGTACGATATAAATATAATAGTTTAAATGAACATTTTTATGATTAACTAATTGTAAATTAGATTTTTATTAATTCAACTTAATTTTTGAAAATAAAAAGTTTAGATGAGGTAATTAGAAGAAGAATAATTGGTAATTTAGTTACTAATAATAATGACTATCAGAGTAAATATGAGCATAAGTAGATAAGATATTCTTTCTTATAGATATGGGAACTTATGTTATAAATAAAAGTTTATACTGCATATGATTTTGGTGCGGATCATTTGATTAAAAAGGAATGACTGGAAAAAAAGGGAGCTTTGGTAAAAGATTATAAATAATTCACTAGAAATAGAGAGTATATTTTGTTAAAAAAGTTGAATTTAAAAGTATTAATAAAATAAAAAAAATATTAATAATATTTTTTAAACTCTTTTAGTGGTTTTGAATAAAATAATTGAGGTGATAAGACTATTAAAATGAAATTTGAATATAAGGTGATAAGCAAACCTCCATCAAATTATAAAAAATTAAAATCATCTTTCAAAAAAATGAAGAAATCTTGAGAATGTAAATATTAATATATGGTTAGGACATAAAAAGATGGCAAAAGGATTGCTTTTTGAGGTAAAAAATTTTAAAGAATATTGGTGGGTAAAGTGAAATTATTTTTTATACTTAATACTATACAGTCGAATTAAAGTAAGAATATAGGGTGATATCTTCATACATTATTGGAGGTAGTATTTAAACTTATGAATAATTAAGAGCAAGTTTGAAATTGGAAACTATATTAATGACCTTGGAATATGTAAATGGAAATATAATAATTAATTTACTGTTGTAGTATCTTTTAATCTGGTTAAACTTTTATAATTTTAAAAATATCTTAGGGTTATGTATAATATTTTGATATGGTAGGTATTGCTTGTTAATAGAGGCTAGATGTATTCACCATTATTTTCTGCAAAAGTTATATATAATTAATGACTAATAATTTTTCCATCAAATAAATTGACCGTTTATACGCAAATCTATAATTAGTAAAACATAAAATTAATACAAAATTTAAAGAAATTATGATTAGTGATCCATAAATTTAGAATCATTCTATCTATTAATATTAAACATGTTTAAAATTCATTAAATATCATCAATTTCAGAGGGCATATAAGATCTTATTTATAACAATTAAAAATTATTTAGATAATATTATTTCACAATCCTCCTTCATCTTTGGACTTTAAACAATTTAATCAAATTAGAAAAAAAAATATTTATATTAGATAATTTCTTAATATAAAAAAGTCTATTTCAAATTTTCTTGGTTCAAAATAAATGAAACAAAAGTAAAATCGATAAAACAATTTCCAATTTAATAATTAAAGCAGATAAAACACTAAATGATAGATTGAATGAGAGGTAAATTTTATTACTATTAATTTTTTACTAATTATCTTTTAAATTTTAATTATTTACTTTTATGTATCCCTAATGTTCTGATTACAAATTACTCTTTCAATTTCAAAATTCAGCTTAATTATTAAAATATTAAAATATTAACTTCTTAATACTTTTATTATTTCGAAGATGGGCAGAGTTTTAAGAGAAAAGTTTACTAAATTCAAAGAAATACCGCAGATAAAAAATAAGTCAACAGTTTTCATGAAGCTTGAACGTATCTCAGTTTTCATGATCTAAAAAGAACTTTTTTTTCATACAAGCTAAACAAAACACTTCACAATTACAATAGTCATAAAAAATAACCTAAAAACTTTTTTTTTTTAAAATAATCAAAATTTAAAAAAAAATTAATTAAAAATGAAACTCAGAATTTACTAATTGATTTGGAATATTACAATTTTAATAGCAGCGAAAATTTGATCTTTAGAATAATTAATATAATAGTGATTTTTTATCAATTAATAAATTCATGATATATAGAAATATTTTTAATATATCAAAAACCAATTTTTTAGACTTATAACCATTAATATATGTATATATTGTCTTAAGAATTAGTGTAGATATTCTCTTGGTAAATCATGAGCATCTATTTTTGAATAATTAATATCATGTGCCAAACATCTTATATTCAACTATTTTTCCTATTGCAATCAGAGTGGAAATAGTGAGCTTGTTCTATCGATTGCTAATGTAATTAACACTTCATTTTCAAATCTTAAAACGCCCTAAGTTGTCTAACCAGCTATACCCTCAATTTAAGTCTTTTTAATCATAAAATTTCTCATTATTTACTAGTGATCAAAATTTTTAGATAAATTTATTTGCTATTTCATAATTATTAAAAAGTTTACGAATAAAAGTATATAATTAATTATAAATTTATCAGATTTTTATATTATTTTTGAATTCATATTAATACATTAGATATTTTAACAAATGAATTTTTAAAGAGAAAATTCATCGATTTGCTCAGAAAATTGGATTCAAGATTCTTAAGAACATAAGGTTTATTAGTTGGATAACGAAGAAAATAAGTTAGTGAAAATAATAATCCAAGTCACACTTACTAAAGATCAAAAAATTGTATATTAAAAAAATGGTACAATATTGAGAATGTATGAATTATTATTGAGAAGTTATTAAGCGAATAAGTTTATGATACTTCTAGAGATCCAGAAATATTAAATTATATGGAACAGATCTAACATCTTTCTTGGTAAGGTTAATACGCATTGAACAATAAAAAAAATGGGAAATGGATGGTTTCTTGGGATGAAAATTTAATTAAAGATGCTAGTGGATACTATTATGATGGGAAAAAACAAGGTTTGTGGATAGATCTAATCCAAAATTACTGGATGTAAATATATCATTTTTAATATAGTTAAGCACAAGTTTTTGAAACTGGAGAATATTTAAATGACTTAAAAATTGGTAATTGGAATTATATTTGCAATAAAAACAAGATGTAACTCTATTATTCATTACTAAGTGGTGGTGGGCTTTACAATAAGGATAATTCAAAGCAAGGCAAATGGATTGAATTAGATGAAGGATTTTGTATGGCTAAAAAAGTGATTTATCGTGGTGAATATAATATGAGAGGTATGAAGGTAGGTATATGGGATATTTATTATTTTAAGGATGGAGAAAATTAATATAAATAAATGTAAGTATTCAATAAAATTAGGGGATGATATGATAGTGGTGGAGGATCATATGGTTAGGAAGGTTAGATCAAGATTGGAAAATGGGTTGAATTGGATGAAGGATTTTATCGACGTAAATAAGTCACTTGTAGTGGTGAATATAATATAAAAGGAATGAAGATAGGTAGATGGGATATTTGTTATTGTAAGGATGGAGAAAAGTAATATAAATAAATGTAAGTATTCAATAAGATTAGGGGATGATATGATAGAGGTGGGGGATTATATGATTAGGAAGGTTAGATCAAGATTGGAAAGTGGGTAGAGTTGGATGAAGGATTTTATAGGGATAAACAAATCACTTATCATGGGGAATATGAATTAAAAGGTATGAAGATAGGTAGATGGAATATAGTAAACAAAGGATAAAAAATGTAAAATTATAGGGAATGATAATTTTTTAGTGGCGGTGGCATATATAGTGTTGGAAATAGTTAGATTAAGATTGGAAAATGGACAGAGTTGGATGAAAAATTTAATAGGGATAAATAGGTTATATATAGTGGAGAATATAACATGAAGGGTATGAAAATAGGTAGATGGGACATTCATTATTGTGACAGATGGGGAGATGGAGAATATATATAAATGTAAATATTCTATAAGGATAGGCGATAATAACAAATTAGTGGTGGAGGATCATATGATGAGGGAGAAAATTAGATTAAGATTGGCAGATGGGTATAGTTGGATGAAGGGTTTAATACTAATAAAAAAGTCACTTATAGCGGTGAATATAATATGAAAGGTATGAAGGTGGGTAGATGGGATATTATTCATAATAAAAGTGCAGACGACGAATTTGAGTACATGTATATATTCTATAAATATAGGGGATAATGATATATTAGTGGTGGTGGATCATATGATGAGGTAGAAGGTTAGTTAAAGATTGGCAGTTGGGTGGATTTATGGGAAGGATTTTAGTTTTATGCTTAAGTCACTTATAGTGGTGAATATAATAAGAAAGGTCAAAAGATAGGTGTATGGTAGATTCTTTATGATAAAAGTGGGGATGGAGAATATGAATAAATGTAAATATTATATAAGTATAGGTGATACTAATTTGTTAGTGGTGGTGGATCATATGATGAGGAATTAGGTTAGATTAAGATTGGTAGATGGGTAGAGTTGGATGAAAGTTTTTTTGAGGAGAATTAGATCACTTATAATGGTGATTACAATATGAAAGGTAAAAAGATTGGGACATGGGTGGAGATGGATATTTTAGAAAATAAGTTAATTGGTGAAAAAATTTATAACAATTGAATATTATATAAAAAAGACAATTCTTGGCGTGCGGTGCTCTTTTTTAAAGAACTTTCATTTTATATCCTTTATTTTAGGTTTTGGAATTTATCTTTAAAAATCATGATAATTAATCTTTCTTCAATTATGTTCTATGATATATTATTGTAAATTCACGCTAAATCCTAAGAGTCGAATATTATCTCTATTTAATTTCGCTAAGACTGAAAAATCACATTGAGCTTGATAAGTTGTTTTGATAACTGATAATAAATTTGTTGTTCCCATAGAATCTATGAAAATATGAGAATATCTAGTGAAAATAGATTTTATAAAAGATTAAAATATAGATTTAATAAAAATGAAGAAGAAGAAATATAAATCTTAAAAGTTAAGGATAAATAATGAAAAATAATTTATGAAATATATTATTTTCATTTTTTTAACATCAATATAATCATATATAACAATTAATAATAATTTTAGAATATAATCTTGTCATTTTTTGAATATTAATAGATTTTACTCTCATATTTTTTTAAATTCTTTTACGTTTAATACACATATAATTTTTATCTTATGCTTTTGACAACTATTACATGCTTTTAATAATAAATTTTCATAAATATTGTGCTTATTCTCATTAGACTTTTTTTGAATTCTAAAATAAATAAATAAAATTTCAATTGGATAATCATTTTTCTTCTTCATTTTCTTGATTGATTGTCTAGATAGTTTGTTTAATTTATTTACTCTAAAGAAAAAGGTTTCGAACCTTTTTTTATTTTTACAAATCCATATTTTTTAGCTACCATTAATGATAGATTTCCTAGCTCCTTTGATAAAGTCCACATTTATGTTGTGACCTCCTTGGTGCATATGTGGATCTACCACAAATCTATTGACTCTTTTGTATTTTTGGGCAAATCTGTATCTTTTGATGTGCTGATCAATATGTGCTGTTGTTAATCTTTCTTGGGGGGAAGTTTACAGTGCATTCCTGCATATATTCATTGTTCAAAGAATCCATGATTTGGGATTCTTTAAGCAAGTTTATTATCCCATTTTCTTTTTCTGGGCCAACCCATCGAATGATCCATAAGTTATTTCATTTCTAGTGCGTCTCCTAGTTATTAGAAAACTCTTAATAATTTTCTTCCCATTTTGCTACATCCATTCTGTTACAATGTCAAAATATTCATCTTTTTCAGGATTGATGTCCTTTTTCATTATTTCTAACACTATATCCCACCCTTCCTATTGAATTTGAATATTCCATTAATTAAAGTGGTTTATCACCATAAAGGATCCCATTTGAATTACTTGTATAGTGTTTTGTGCTAGTCTTTGATCTATTTTTTTTTGCTTCCTAGTCTGCATAATCTATTGCCTCTCTAAGAGACTATGCCCTTAATTATTCCATAAAGAAATAAAAGGGCTGTGTTGATCTCTTTCTTTATCTGTGTTGCAAAGATCTCTAGTCTGGCAAACAGGTCTAGTACAATTCTATCAGGAGTTGTGATTGACTTATCACAAACAATTTTTAAAGTTTTTTTTCTTAGTATTTCCTATTTTCTTATCCACTATGATTTTTCAGTCCAGATTGAAAGGTTTACATAATCAAAGTGTGGTTTAAAATACACCTTCCACATTTTCAGTAAGTGTCATATTGGTAGTATGATTTAACTATCTTTATTCGATGTGATTGTCTTATTAACCAATTTTTGTCTTGTTATAAAGGGGGGCAATACTTCCTTTGGCATTCATCCAAACCCCCAGATATTTGAACTCTTTTACTCTTTGATTCCAATCTTTTACTCTAAGTCCTCGTTGTCTTTTCTTGCTTTGCATATAGACAGTTTTTTTCAAATTTAATATAAAATCATATTCATCTTCTAGTACTTCTTTTATTATTTCCATTGTTTTCCCCATAATACCTTATTTGTATACACTACAAGGTCATCTGCATAAGCCATATATTGGAATTTTTTGCCTCTTTTGACAATCTTTTTTTATGTCTTAATCTATAAGATGATAATAAATGTAATAGTCTTTAATTGATTCTTTGAAAAGCATCATTCAAATAGATATCAAATAATGCTGGCGACAATGATGATCATTGATGTGCCCCATTTTTTAGATGGATTCTCTTTCTTAAAGATGTTTTTTCCTCAAAAATGTTTTCCACTGATATTTTAATTAAATCATGATTTATATTTTGAATACAAATAGAAATCTAACAATAACAATATCTAATGAGAAGCCATATAAATAATTCATAAAATTTTTGTTTTTAGAATATTCGAACTTCCAATCAAATCTAAATGTTTCTAATGATTGTTATTAATAAAATAATCATTATATTGTAATGATGATTATGTTTTAGTTTTCAAGTGTTTCCTAGTTCTTTTTTAAATTTAGCATCCTGAATCTTAGTCATTAGTTGTGTTACTTGTTCATCTTTGATGAGGATTAGATGACGTATGCAAGTCTTACTTTATGTTTGAGCAATGTGTCTAAGGGAGTTTGAATAATAATTGTAAGTTCCTGGTAATGTTCAAATGTTGTTATTTAGTATATTAATATAATTTAATATCGGTTTATATTTTTATTTCTTTCCCTCTTTCTTGTATTTTCTTTAAGTGAACAGACTATCTTGTATAGTAATTTGATAATTCTTGAGGATTAAGCTTAGGTATGAGCGAGGTGTTAGCACCTCTTCTTTCTATATATTGTGATATTTTAAGATAGAGTTTTGTTGTTAAAAGAAGAAGCTATAGCCATATATATAAAATATGGCTCAATCCATAATCAGTACGGAAATAATCTTTATGAAAAATCTGAGTTTAATTTGTGAATTATGAAATTGATTTTTATAATTATACTTTTCCTATGTAAGGTTATTGTGCTCCTGTTATTGGTTTTTACAATTGTGACTACACTGACCTAGTTGTGTTTCAGTCTTTGTTTGAATGGCATGATGCCGCTCTTTTTTATTCCTAAGGTTCCATTGAGTAAATAGCTCTTTTATATTGTTAAGAATATATCCATATTTCTATTTGTCTTTTAGCAGAACCAAGATCATCTGCGATCCCAATAATTTGTATGTATAATTATTTCTCAATAAGAATTCTTTGATGAATTCGTCTATATAGATATTGAATAAGGCAGGTGAGATAGGGGATCCTTAAGGAACTCCATACTTTAAATAAACTTTATTGTGAATGTTATATTCATTAACATATATTTATGGCTTATAAGAAATGAGTCTCGATTTCAGATAATATATTTCTTTATTTCTAGATATCATATAATTTATTTGTATTCCCCTTATTGTATGTGTTTTTGAGTGATTCAATATTTGAATTTATCAGTTTAATTTTATTATAGTTATAATTTTCATCTTAAATTATGGGATTGATGATTTAGCTATAAATTTCATTTACCATATTGTCTTAATTCTTATTTGTTTTTCTGTGAGGTTTTCCCATCATTTTTTGCATGTATATGACCTTTGCATATGAAGAAGCTAAAATATATATGGTTCAGATCCACATTATTTACGATATATAGCGTCGTTGTTAGTCAACTCCTCTTCCATTTTATATTAAAGTGATGGAGTTCTGAGAAAATTATTGTCGATATTGAGTTGATTTAGAGACTTTAGTATAATTCTCTAAATCGTGTTAATTAAATCATTGTTTTAATAATTATGTTTCTATTTTTATTAAAATGTTGTTGGTGATTTGGGTTCATATTGTTCTTCTTAAATTTATTAGAGATTATGTATTGTTGCTATTGATGTCATTGCTATTTGTTTTTGTTTTCCTTTATTTTAATCAAATATTGAAATGTGTTATTGATTTCATATATTTCAATTAAGTTATCTGGTAGGTTTTCTGTAAACTTTTGTGCTTAGTCTTACCATCAAATATGAATACTTAGTAGTTTTATGCTAGGCAGATTATTTTGAGTATCCTGTTCTTGTGTTTATAATTAAATAATATATACAATAAATGAAGATGAATAATTATGTAGGCTGTCCAAAATGGTGGCATAATAATTTTGAAGAAATAAATTAAGTAATGTGTCTGCTTTATTTGAAGGTAATCTCAGCATTTTATTACACATCTTTTTCTTAAATTTGATTATGTTGTTGGAAAGGATTTCTTTATTGAAAGAAGAAGAAGCTGGAATATAAATAAAGTAAGACCCTATGTAAAGCCTATTCAAAAATAACCTTGGGGGAAGTTCATATTGTATCAAATGGATTGCAGTTTGAATTGGATACAATTGATTTTGGTAACAAAATTCTGAATATGTATTGAAACGGAATCTTTGTAGTTAATTTCTCTACCAAGGTATTTATAACTATTGACTATTGGAAAGTTACATATATGTGTGCATTTCATTCCTGATTTTATTGGCAGTATGCCATTAAATTTGTTATTAACACTTAGGCACCATAAATTAGACAGTTCTTTGATATCATTTAACAAGGTACCAAGATTACATTTATCAGTTATTAAGACTAGATCGTCTGCATAACCTAAAAATTTGAAATTCAATTGGTCTCTCTGTAAAAGTCCGTTGATAAATTCATCAAGGTAAATATTGGATAAGGTTGAAGAGATTTGTGAGCCTTAAGGGAAAGTATACTTTATTGAGCAAGTTGTGATTATCAACATATAAGATTTTGCTGTGAATCAACTCAAGAAATTAGGTTTCTATATCATTTAATATTTATCTAATTCTAAGACTATTTTAAAGTTTCTATCTTTTCACAGTGTTATATGCACTGGTAAAATCAATAAAAATCAAGCATTGATTGCCAGATTATTTTTATTATCGTATCTATTCTATCAGGATAAATATGTTAATATGAATGTTCTTTTCGGCTACTAATAAGATGTTAAATGTTTGTTGATTCTATAGATCATTAAGGATTCTCCAAACACATTTTTATATAAATTGATGGGTGGTTCCATTGAATGAGATCCTAAAGTTTTGAAGCTTCTTCTTTAGACAATTCAGGTAATTCAGTTGCTTTAGGTTAATATTGAAAGATGTTTGATAACTTTTCAAGCATTTGTATGCAGCTGTTGAAAATTCATTGTCCTGTACACAACTAATGTTGATCGTCGATGAAACAATTAAATAATCTTCCATCTTCTTTATTTTTGTAAGATAATTGTTTATTTGAGCATTTCGAAAAATTCTTATTTATCTGATTATAATTTGTTTCGTATTTCTTCTAGATAATTATTGTTTTGTTTATTTCTAATTGATCTTATCCTTAATCTTAATTTGGAAATAATTTTTTAATTCATAAGAAGTTTCTTGTATCTATTGTAAAATTCAGAAAAATTGTGATAATTGTTATTATTCATTAAAGTCTGACATTTTTAGATTGCCTTGCATTTGGAGATAGTGTATTATTGTTATCTAGTTGTTTTCCTGTTGGTTCCAAAATCTTTAGCTCTCTTCTATATATATTTTGATAATTAATGAAAGTAAACATTGATTAAAATTAAAATAAAATGATATCTGGTTAATTATTGTCTTTATCCTAGTCCTAAAAATAATGAGTAGTTATATCTTTACTAAAGAGTTAAATTACTCTATTTTTATAATTAGGCTAATATTTAAGATATTTAATTACTTAAGTTCTATATAGAAAAAAATCTAAGAACTTTTCAGTTTTATAAATGAAATCTCCATCAAAATTCGTATTAATTGTTTAAAATAGTGACTTAATGTGATAATAATTATTATTTTGTTGGTTTACAATGATTGATTCGATGAGATGTTTGTGCCAAATTATCTACAAATGATAGATTGGTAAAAAAAAATGTTAATTTTTTAGCTCTTTCATTAATTTTTATTTATTAATAAATATTATTACTATTCAATTTTCATAATTTATTTCACCACATTACTTATTTATCTTCAAATCTGTTTCTACCCATTTACCCACTTTCATCCCTTTATCATTATAATCTCCATAATAAATTATTTAGTTGCCATCCAAAAACTTCTCATCTAATTCGACCCATCTCCCGATTTTAATTCCATAAATACAATCATACATTCCAAAACCACTTAAAATATTTTAACTTAATATATTTACATTTATTTATAAATTTTATCTAATTCATACATAATATCCCATTTATCTACCTTCATCCCTTTTAGATTGTATTCACCAACATATGTGACTTTTGCTGAATATTAAAAGCCTTCCCACAACTCTACCCACCTTCCAATCTTAATTCCTGTCGTAGTATTATATGATCCACCACCACTAAGAAATTTTAATGATAATTTTAACATTTAGTTATATTCTCCATTTCCCTTTTTATCATACATAATATCCCATCTGCCTATTTTCATACTATTTATATTATATTCACCATTATATGTAACTTATTTTTCATAGACAAACCTTTCATCCTACTCGATCCACTTTCCAATTTTAATTCCAGAAAAACTATCATATATTCCACCACCACTACATATCAAAACTTATGATAATTACATTTTTTTATATTCTTAATCAAAAGGGGATTTAAAAAAAATATTCCATCTGCCTGCCTTCAGTCCATTCTTATTATAATCACCAATATTAGTAACATTTTAAAAACAATTAAACCCTTCATCCAATTCTACCCAGCTTCCAATCTTAAATCCTTAAGTGCTATCATATGATCCACCACCTCTAAAATATCTATAATTACAATACTTACATTTAGACTGTTATTTGATCGAAATCTGAAATAAACTAAAAATCCCATCTTCCTACCTTAATACCTTTATTATTATATTCCCCAATATAAGTGACTTAAGATTCCCTCCAAAAGGCTTCCCATAATTCTACCCACTTTCCCATCTTAATTCCTGAAGAACTATCATATGTTCCTCCGCCACTAAAAAATCAAATACCTTTGTTTTTTACATTTATTTATATTCTTGCTCATTATATCTACAATACATTATATCCCATCTACCAATCTTTATTCCTTTCAGATTATATTCACCTAAATAAATGACTTTAGCTTCATATTTAAACCCTTCCCACAATTCCACCCATCTCCCAATTTTTGTTCCCTAAGAACAATAATATTATCCACCACCACTTATTATTTTTTATATATTTTATTTACATATATTTATTTTGTGACTTGAATATCTCCTTAAACACTATATTCCATCTACCTACCTTTATCCCTTAATTATTATAATAACCATTATAAATTATTTAATTCTCACTTAAATATATATTTTAAAACAATTACTCCCAAAATTCATCACTTAAATCACTCCAATTACCAGTTTTTTAACTTTATTGATTGTAATATCCTCCACCACTAATTTAATATATTTTATTTTTATATAATACATTATTTTATTATTATAAATGTATTTCCATTTGCCCTATTTTTAATCATCAAAGTATTCACCTACTTCAAAAACCAAAACCTTGCTAGTTTATTTTTTAATTTGATATATTACCTGCAAAAATTTTTCATTATATCCTTCCATATACCTTACTTTTACCCACTCTTTGAGTAATAACCTCCAACATTTTGAAGAATTTATCCATTCCAATTAAGCTTCCATTTAGAAACCCTCCTCAGATTTTCAAAATTTCCAACCCATTCTATATATTTGATTTATTCTAAATTATTGAAAACTTCATTTTCCAACAAAGAAAATTTCTTCATCCTATAATAATTTGCCCAAAGAATTTACAATCTCACCATATATCCATTATAAAGGTATATTAATTGATTATCTTAATCACATTCTATATAGCATTTCTTTTTCAACCATCTGAATTAATATTAGTCAAAAAAAAGGCATTCAAAATTTTCGAAATTTTTAGAAGTTTCTTTATTACTATTTTTAGGTACAGGTTATTCAACTCTAAAAAATAAGATTTATTATTTACTAAATAATTTACTTGATTTCCTTTTATTTATTCTGTTGATTTGAATTACAAATTCCCATTTTTAGTCTTAATAAGAAAAATGAATTTTAATGAATAATTTTTTAAGAATTAATGGATGCATATTTTATACTTTAACATTTTAGTATGTTAGATTAATCTAAAAAGAAAAAATTTAGAAATTCACCCTTATTGATTTTTTCTTGCATTTAGCAAATGTTTGTAAAAAGTGAGATCCATCGTAAGCAAGCGACTCTCTTCTGAATTGGTGATTTTTGTTTTGCACCACTATTTTTTTTATTTTGATTAGTTTAAGTAAGCATTGATCTCTAAATGAAGATGTCGAGCAACTTAATTTTTCTAAATGAATAAGAAAGGCAATGAAAAACTGATTTAAACATTTTACATGAGTTTCAAAATAAAACAAATCAATAATATTTATACTAAAATTTAATTTTTGTCAAATTTTCTGTTTCTTTCATGATAGGGATTCTACTTTCAACTTTTTTCTAAATTCATTTACTTTTTCCCTTAATCATCTTAAACCTTCATAGCCTCCGGTTAACTTTACAAGATTCTAATAATAATATGATAATTAGATTTTAAAATTTTAGGAAAAATATTTAATTTTATACTTCAAAAATTTTTAAATAAATGTTAATTTCAAATAAATAATTTGGAGGAGAGAAAGTTTGGGTATAAATTTTTTGTTAAGGTTTTAATTTAAATTTTTTTTTTATGAAAAGGAATTTTTGATTTTTATTGATATTAAATGAAAATTAGTCTTTTAAAAAATAAAGAAATTTCAAGGAACAAAGATTCATCAAATAATTAAAAGTTAAGCGAACAAACTTATATCAAATATTGTTGGTGTAAGTATAGTTAAATGAAGCAACTTACTAAAATGGAATGTATCTCTCATTCTTGAATTAAATTAATAAAATTAAATTTATTGCTTATGTCTTAGATTTAACAGATTGACAAAGTTCTAATTAAAGGCAAATAAATAAAATCCTTGAATAAATATCTTTTTATTTGGAATCAATTCTTTTTATAGATAATTTTATTTCAATCTAAAACTAATTTTAAGAGAACAGTTACAAGCACAAAATTTTGTATTTTTAGGAGTTTTTATTACCTTAAGAGTGTTTCTTTAAAAAATTGGATCTTAATTATGGCAAATATAATAGAAATATGTCAAACAAGGTTTAGAAGCATTGCTTTTATATTTAATTAAGTCTTTTCATAATTTAATAAAAAAATCACTTATTTTTATATTAATTAGTATCTAAATCTCAAAGACATATTAATTTATATGATTTTACAATAAAATGTAATGATAAAAACAAAAAAATTTAAAAATTAGTCATTTATACTCTTTATAAAAAAATAAAAAAAACCCCCATAAAAAGTTCATATCTAGTTTGGATTCAAAAATATTTTGATAAAAATCTCTTCAACTATTATTATTTAAAATTATTAATTTACTCATACTTGAATTCTAAAAGAAACTTGATTGATTAATGTGGTTTATAATTTAGAAAATTTAATTTTGAGCTACTAATCAATTTTATATATTAATAGATGTTTGATCTAAATTTTTCTTTTCATTTTATTTTTAATCTTAAAACCTCTTATTTTATTTACTTTAATGCCATTTCTTTATGATTTCATTCTGAATGAGTTCTCTTGATCAAATCTTTGTGTAAAATCATTTAAATTTATTAAATTAACATTTTATTTAGGATTTTATTGATTTAAAAAAAAAAAAACTCCGAATTTAAATGATTAATAAAAATTATTAATTTTAAAACACATAAATATATTTTAATATTATGATTTATTAATTATTTTCTCATTTGTATATCAATTCATCTATCGAATATAACTTATCCTAGTCATTCAAACTAACTAAATATGATCCGTCATTTGTTATTGTTCCATAAACTTTGTTGGTATTAAATTTCAATTATTTAACTATTTTGAATTTACCATCATTTAATTCTCGAATTATATAAATATTAAATTTGTGTCTTATAATTATCACATTCTTTTATTTATTATAAATTATTGGGGATTGATACATATCAAAATCCTATTTATTTGAATTCAATTGAATCATCTTTTGCTGATTCTCTTGAAGTTCATTCCTTCAATTCAAATATAAATATTTAATCAATATCTTTAGAACCAGAAACCAAAATAAACTAATCATCCTTTATAAACTTTAGTTTGATTCCACTATAATTATTAGATTATTTAACAATATATTTAAACTCCATTTTAAATTCCTCTTTCCCAAATTATTATTTCTTTATCACCATCACCACATGATACTAATAAACTCTCTGATTAATTTAGACTTAATGATAATACAAAACACTTATGCTTATCCAAAGAATATTAATAAATCAGTTTATCATTACTGAAATCTAATTACCATACTTTAATAGAATTATCTTAACCTCCTGAGAAGAGTTGATCCTCATTTTAATTTAAAATCAAACATTATACCCTACCAGTATGTTATTAATAAGACAATGAGCTAATCCATGAATTATTATTTTTTAACTTCCAAATTCTTATGGTCGCATCATCTGAACCTGATAGAAATGCATCCTATAATCTACTGTAAATTAAACAATTAAACCAGCCATTATGTTATTCTAAATTTTATAGCAATTCAATTTTTCCATTATTAAAATTCCATATTTTAATTATTTTTTCATTAGTTGAAACCATAATTGATCCAGAAGAATTAAAAACTATCCTTTGGCACTAATTCTCTTAATTAACAGATTAATCTATTAAATTTAGATTAACATCTTCTTCAAAAGGTTTTTCGCTAAAATTTAAAATTAAATTTTTTATAAAATCAATTGTTTCTCTTATCAATATCGTTTTAAGTTTCTGTGGAAAAAGAGGGTACCTAGGGCTCATTCAAGTTAACAAAATACACAAAAAATAATTTTAATTTAATCTATCATTTAATTTACTCATAGCTAATTGCTTAATTAAAGATAAAGTTTGTTAATCAAAGTCTTAACTACAGCTATTCATTACATTTAAAACCTAAATCAATAATCGACAAGATTATCAAAAATTCCAATTTGTGTATTTAAAGTAAATAAAAAAATTAAGTTTTCAAAATTTGTTTTATTTTTTTGAATTAAAGAGAAAAATTTGAAAAATAATTATAAGAATAGTGTTTTTACATTATGTTTTACCTTCTGATTTTTATTACTCACTTATATAATGATGAAAATTTAAGAAATTTAAATTAAAAAAAAGGCATTTTGTTTTTTGATGAATTTACAATATGACTTTAATTATTATAATATGCATGCAATTTAATTGATGAGTTTTACAACAATTTAGAATATGATTTATTTAAAGAATCCCTAAAATTAAATTTTATATTTAACTTTTTTCTTTGTTATGTTTTCAAATCTCTCAGTTTAAAGTTTTGAAGTCTTATTGTTTTTATTAGATTAGATTTTGGGAAATTTAAATCTCTCATTACTTTCTACTTATTTTATATAGAAGAGCTACTCCTAATTTTATCCCAATCTATCAATATAAGATACTTTAATCTATAATTCAAATATCAATTATATTTACATTCTCAAATGCTTTTGATTACAATTCTCCTCTTGTATATAACATCATCTATTAATGTTTAATGAATAATCAGATCAATATATGATAAATTTAACAAAGACTAAGACTGTTACCTCATCAACACACAAAACATCATATTTTTGAGTCGCCATGTAATTCCTTAGGGAAAATAAATCAAGCTCCTTTAAAAAACTTTCCAGTATCGTGATATTTCTTGTTACTGATATGAAGTATCCGCCTCCCTCTTGTGTCATTCTTATTTTCCATGTCAATAACATCAACTAAAGATCCTTATATATCTAGAGTTTCCTTCCATAAAGTGTAATGTTAGATTGGTTAAAGAAAGCATCTGTTATCTTGTGTAATAATCCCCGCTTCTAAAAGTCCCGTTCTTCCTCAAAAAGTAATCCTAGCTTCTTCTTTAAACCTCTAAAACTTATGTTCTCTTAACATTTTAATCTACCTTTAATTTACATCCCTTTTTTCATTAATTAACAGTTACCATTTTCTTTAGATAGGCCTCTTAAATGAAGCAAGAATTATTTAATTTTTGATTTTAAAAAAAATAAATATTAAGTCATCAGCATAACTCAAAAATTGAAAATCAATTTAGACTTTAGTTATGGTAAAATAGATGATCCTTATGGTATTCCATAGCACCAGTATCCTAATGTTAATCTTATTATCATATGGATTTATATATAGAATTCTACTGTGTATTTTTTTAAGATATCTTATTTCTTGTATATCTAATACCTTATATATCTTTAATAAATTGTAAAGCCTTCTCCTTTCAATAGCGTTGTATGCATTTGAAAATTCTGTAACTAACAAGAAATAATTTCTGAAATTTTAGTTTATCTAATAATATTATATGCATATGGTTCTTTATTCCAAACATTTAACAATATTTCCCAATTACAAGATTTAATGAATTAGTGTGTTAAACAATCATAAGAAATAACCTTATTGTAAACTAATTTTAGCGCAATAGTTCAACTTTCTCTTTAGAAATTTTAGGTAATTTTGGGATTAATGAAGGGTTAAATTGAGTTTTATTTGACAACTTTATTTTTTTTTCATCCAGAAAGCAGTGGAAAATTCCTCCTTCTCTTTTATTTAGATTCACCACTTTTTATTTGTTTATTATTAGGAAATATTCAAACTTTTAGCCTTAAAAGGCTAGTTTAAATATTTCAACTAAATCTAACTCATAACTTTTAAAGGATAATTTTCCTAATATTATTCTATTTTTTTAAGAATAAAAACTTAGTCTAGAAAATAGGATAGTTTTTTATTAATTAAAATATGATCCGTTTGAGATTCACAATTTTTTATTTAATTTTGTGTCTAAAAGTAATCATATTATTGTTTGTCTAGTTAGAAAAGTAACAGGAGGATGCTTGTTGTTAAAGTCTCCACAAAGAATCAAAAGTTAATTTACTTTTTGTTTTATAATATTATTAATATTAATCTATTAAATTTTTTCTAAAACCTTTTTCATATGGCGTTGCTACTAAAATTTACATTTATGATAACCAAATCACATAGTTAATTAGTTACCCTTATTTTAATAGGTCATAATCACAGTTATTAAAATACAAATTCGTTATATCTTTTGAGTTAAGTTCTTTGAGAATACCAGTTATTATTCCTCCAGAATGTGAGGATCCAACTTATTATTGGTAATAGGAAGGGTTTAATTTATATTTTTTTGAAATACACCAAAATTCTCCTGGTTGACTGTTTCAATAGTTTCAATTTAGTTTGAAAATAAGTTATTAAGTATATTTATTTTATTAATATTATTAAAAAATACACAAATATTTAAAAAATTATATTTAAATGTTATATCTTTTTTTATTGGTCTTACTTAAAATAAAAACAAATTTTTTGGAAATTATTTTGTAATGTGTGTTATTTTTTTAATATTACTAAAAAATAAACAAAATATATTTAAAAATTAATTTTAATTGTTATATGTATTTTAATTGATAAATGTAAAAATAATTTTTAATCATTTAATGCAATAAACTTGAATGTTTCATAATAAAAATTCTAAAATTATTTAAAGTTGTATAAAGTAAATACTAAAATTATTCAAAGTTATATAACATTTTATGTAAAAATTATTTTTAATTATTTAATGAAATAAATTAGAATGTTTTATAAAGTAAATACCAAAATTATTCAAAGTTATATCACATTTTATGTAAAAATTATTTTTAATTATTAAATGAAATAAACTTGAATGTTTTATAAAGTAAATACTATATTTATTTAAAGTTATATAACATTTTATGTAAAAATTATTTTTAATTATTTAATTAAATAAACTTGAATGTTTCATAATAAAAATACTAAAATTATTTAAAGTTGTATAAAGTAAATACTAAAATTATTCAAAGTTATATTATTATTATTAAACCCTTATTCAGGGAACAACACAAACGTAAAAAATTTCAGCTCAATTTTAAAAGTTTTTCATTTCATTAAAGTCCTTTTTTTTGATATGTTCATCAATTACTTTATATAGATCTTATTCTATTTTATTTTAGATATTCTCATTTAAATTTTCTCTGATTGATGTGTAAAATTCTTCTTCGCTCTAGAAATTCAAATGTTCAAGTATTACATGTTTTGCTGTTAATCTTGAATTATTATGAGATTTGCAGAATGTCCAAGCCAATTTATACACATATTAGAGATTTTTTGGAATTAGATATATTTTTCTTATATCTTATATATCTCTCTATAATTAATTGGTTTTTTCATATAAATGAATCAAAGTTTATTAGGATACATCTATCAACCTTTCTTACAGCTTCCTTATTGTTTTATTGATATTTGATGATTATTTAATATTATAGACACTTAAAATACTATCCATTAAGAAATTATTTGTATTTTATGGTAATCTTAATAAATTTTTAAAAGCTCTCTTCCTCAACATTAGAAATCGTTTTCTGATCGATTTGTTTTAAAACTATTCAATTATTTAACAGTAGTTGAAGTATGGTTGAATATAAATTAAAAATAAAAGAAGTCTTTAACGAAAATCCATCTTAAAAGAAACATATTTCAGTTTACTCATTTTAAATTGAACAATTTTTTCAATATCATCAATATGCTATTTTATTTAACCTTTATTGTCTATCTTTATTCCTAAGTACTTATAGTTATTGACAACCGGAAAATTATCATAGCTATCTTCTACCATTTTCCATTTTATAGGTAAGATTCCAGATTTCTTTTCATTCAAAATAAATGCCCATTCTTTTGCTTAAATTCTTAGTTAAAAAATGAATTATTATAATTTCGATTGTTTAACAATAAAGACTAAATCATCTGCATAACCAAGAAATTAGTAAGAAAATTTAATTGCAGATTTCAATTGTCTTAAAAAACCATCCATATAAATGTCAAAAAGTTACGGGGATATAGGAGAACCTTGAATAACTCCATTTTCATAATAATATTGTTCTTTTTTATTATATGGGTTAATGTATATTATTCTACTGTGTATTGCTTTCAGAAATTTCACTTCATTCTATTCCAATACATTATTATTTTCAAGTAGTTAATATAATTTTTCCCGATTAACAGTATTATATGCACTCGAGAAATCGATAAATAACATTATTAATTTTTGGGCTGCCTTAGTTTTTTTAAAAATATCACATATTGCTAATATATTAACTTAAGTCCCAAACCCTTTCACAAAACCTGTCTATTCTTTTAATATTTTTTCCTACAAATAATTCATTAGCTTATCATAAAACCTCATCTCGATAAATTTGTATAATGGGCTTAAAATAACAATAGGTCTAAATTGGGTTTTATTTGGGATATTTGGATAAACTTTATTAAGAGGTACAAGTCTAGCCCAACCCAATAATTTATTAATTAAAAATGTATCTTCTTTCCATAAATCTGAGAGAATTTTCCAGTTACAATTCTTTATAAATTAATGAGTTATGCAATCATAAGATATAGCTTTATCTGAAGCTAGCTTTATTCGTAGTTTTTCAACCTAATCTTTAGAGAGTTAATTCAACTATGGAATAGCCAACGGAAAATATTTTACTTATTTTGACAAATTATCTAATTGAATGTAACAATTCTTAAACACATCTTCTCCTACAATAATATTATTCGTATCATCAAGATAACAATTATAAATTCCTCCTTCTCTCTTGTTTAAATTCAATAGAATAGTTTTTTTGATTAACTTAAAAAAGTCTCTTTTATCTCCTTTAAAGGTGTTATTAAATTAATCCACAAGTTCTTATTCATGCAATTTATATTAGAGTTTTCGAAGTTTAATTCTTCTTTTGTTAATTATGTGGTGCTTATTAATAGATTTTTGGTATTGTTTATAAAAAGAGGAAAAATTATCATTCTGATGATATAATTTCTGGCATTCTTATTATGCTAATTTCTTATTTATTTCTAAAATTTCTTTTCTGCAATTATTCTCTTAACTTATTATGAGTTAAATAATTAGTAGGACATGATCTGATAAGTTTGTCCATTTAGATTGGATAGAAAAAGGAATTGATTTATTTATTAGAATGTGATCTGTTTAAGAAATACGTATTTTATCTAAAATCTTTCGTCTAAAAGTCATAGTATTTTCGTTCAATTATTTAAGAATTGAAATAGGATTTTTTTTAGAATTAAAGTCTCCACATACAATCATAAGCTAATTTTATTTAATTTCAGAGAGTATTTTTAATATGATATTAGTAAGAGCAACTTTATATCTATTGTATGTTACATTATTATTTAAGTACACATTGATTATAATTAAATCTAACAATTAATTTGTTGCTCTTATGATTAGTATGTCATAATCATGATGATTAATGTAATAATCTGTAATATCTTGAGAGTTAAATTCTTTATTAATACCTGTTATAATGCCTCCAGAGTGTTTTTATCCTACTTATTTATGATAGTATTTGTATTTAATAGAGTCATTTATTTTTGTATTTCTCACTTCCTATAAACATATAATATAAGGACTTGCTTGATCAATTATTTTAAAAGATTCTTATTTTAATGAGCTTACATTCCACGATAAAAATGTTAATTGTATTTCTGTGTTTGTGCTGTTCGTGGAGGGGTTTATTTAATTTTACTATTTTTTATCAAAATCAAAACCCTCCTTAGTTGTTTTATCTTTCAAGAGCATATTCATCTTAAAGTTGATTGTTGAATCTGTTGGGAAATCTCTTTGGTTTTAGAAAGTAAGGTTATTATCCTTAAAATCTTCCAAATTAATTATTATTATTATTTTAATTCAAGGAATTATTATTTCTGTATATTGGATAAGTTCGTTAATAGTTAAAATCATTTATTGGATGATTTCGCTAATAATAATTATAATTACCTTAATAATTTCTATTTAATTCATTTTATATCTGATTTCTAAAATTTGTCTAATTGTGGCAATTTCTATTTGAGTTATTCCAATGATAATTCTTATTTTATATGTTCTAATTTTAATTATTCATTTGGCGATAATTATTATTATAGTAGGAATATCTCCTATTTTGGTTATTAATTTGTTATTTATTTTAATAATTATTATTATTTCTATTATTCCATTTTTTCTATTATTATTATTATTAAGAATTAAGGATTCTATTATTATTATTATTATT